ATACCAAAAAGGTTTGCTATAGATCTTCCTCCCATCTTTTCCCAAGAGACTTCTAGCCTTTTACTAGGTTAACTGTGCACTGATAGAATGAAAGTAGTTCTACCTTTGGGGGACTACAAAGACACTGTCTCTGAATTGATATCTGCTCCAAGAGACCTGCCCAAAGCATTGTGGCCTGCCAGTTACAGTAGGGGGTTATAAAGGGCAGGTCATCAGTGGAGTTTTATCTGAAGTCTAGCTCATAGTGGGCCCAGTGGGACAAGTGGGCCCCAGAACTCATCCTGTGGTCATTTCCCTAGAATTTCTACTTAATATAGATATACTTAGCGGTCAGAAGGATTCCTACACTGGCTTCCTGACCTTATAGTTGAGGAATATTATGGATGGAAAGACCAAACGGAAACCATTAGGGATTCCTCTACTTGGAAAGAAGTGAACTAAAGGCAATTTCCCATCCCTAAAGAGCTTACAGTGATTACCATCACCATCCAGGGCTTGAGGGATACATGGGTGGTGGTCCCACCGCATTTCCTTTTGACTCTCCTATTTGACCTGTTCAGAAGTTGCACGGATCATGGATAATAAAAGTTATCATAAACTTAATCAAGTGGTGACTCCAGTTGCAGCTGCTGTATGAAATGTGCTTTCCTTGTTTGGGCAATTTAACACATTTCCTAATAGCTGGTATGCAGCTATTATCTCTGCAGACATCTTTCCCATACTTATCCAAAGGACCACTAGAGTGATTTACTTTCAGCTGGTGAAGCCAAAAGTACACCTTTATGATTTTGTGCCCAGGGTATATCACTTCAACAATCCTGTATCATAACTTAGTTCTTAGGGATTTTGATCATCTGTCTCTTACACAAGGTATCACACCAGTCCATTATATTGATTATATTTTGCTGTTTGGACCAAGTGAGTTGGAGGTAGCAACCACTCTGGACTCCTTGGTAGAACACACGTACATTATAGAGTAGGAAACAAACCCAACTATGGGAATAGTTTTCTCTGAAAATACCTCTTGCCTTCAGAAACGAAATTTTTGCCTGACTTTGTAACTAAGTTAATAATATGCTTAGAAACTATTTCAAACTATAGACTCAATCAATTTCCCTACTGTGTATTCAGCCTGTTCAAGCTTAACTGCTTTTAAGAGAGCAATGTAACCAACCTTACTATGCTTTAGACTTCTCATGCAATCAATTTTTACAACATAAGCTAAACGCATAGTCTTAATCTTTTTTTTTTTTTTTTTTGGTTTTTCGAGACAGGGTTTCTCTGTGTAGCTTTGCGCTTTTCCTGGAACTCACTTGGTAGCCCAGGCTGGCCTTGAACTCACAGAGATCCGCCTGGCTCTGCCTCCCGAGTGCTGGGATTAAAGGCGTGCGCCACCACCGCCCGGCAAGTCTTAATCTTAAATCATGTATTCTTCCATATCCCTGACTCAGAATAATATGTGAATGTATGTGTGCATGCAAATCTATACACACATGCATGTGTGTACCCACACACTAATCATTTGCTCAAAGAAGCCAATAGGTTGAAAACAACTTAAAGAAAACAAATATCCATCGTTAATGTTGAAAACAACATGTAGATATAGATTAATAATGTCTGTTTATGGTTTTGAGTGCTTTTGTGGGTGAATAGGTATGATGGCTAGTTTTATGTCATCTTGACTCATGTTTGAGTAATTTTGGAAGAAAGAATCTCAATTAAGAAAATGCCACCATAGGTTGTCCTGTGGGGTAATTTGTAGTGCATTTTGTTAATTAGTGGTTGATGTTGTGGACTCAAACCAATGTGGGTAGTGTCACCCCTGGGCTGGTGGTCCTAGGTACTGTGAAAAACCAAGCTGAGCAAGCCATGGGGAGCAAGCCAGTAAGCATCACTCATCCATGGATTCTGCATCAGTTCCTGCCTCCAGATTCCCACCTGGAGTTCCTACCCAGACTTCTCTTGGTGATAGACTACAAGATATAAAATTAAATAAACCCTTTCCTCTCCAAGTTGCTTCTGGTCATGGTGTTTTATCACAGCAACAGAAACCCTTCTAGGACAATAGAATTCAGTAAAGTAAAGCTTTCCTTTGTTAATTGTGGTAAAACATTTATTTGATTAAGACAAGAGATTCCTCATTCCTTTCCCATAGCATGTTTTCTGTGCTGTTCAATAAGTGTCTTAGAGTTTCTACTGCTGTCAAGAGACACCATGACCACAACAACTCTTTTTTTTTTTTTTTTTTTTTTTTTTGGTTTTTCGAGACAGGGTTTCTCTGTGTAGCTTTGAGCCTTTCCTAGAACTCGCTTTGGAGACCAGGCTCACAACAACTCTTATAAAGAAAAACATTTAATTGAGGCCTGTTTATAGTTCAGCAGTTTAGTCCATTGTCATCATGGTGGGAAGCATGGCAGCACACAGGCAGACATGGTGCTGGAGAGAAGCTGAGAGTTCTACATCCGGATCTACAGACAGCAGGCAGAGCAGAGACACTAAGCATGGCTTGAGCATTTGAAACCAAAGCCCACCCCCAATGACACACTTCCTCCAAAAGGCCACACCTACTCCAACAAGGCCACACCTCCTAATCCTAGTCAGGTATCACTATCACTTCCTAAAGACCAAGTATTCAAATATACAAGCCTCTTGGAGCCATTCCTAGTCAAACCATCACACCTATGATTCCTGCTCTAGCTACAATGCTTTCTGTCCCGAAGAATATACTTCTGTTCTCATGGGGTATGTCCTATGATTGATTGATCCAGGAAGAAAAGACTGGGGCCCAGTTTACAAATGGTTCTGCACACTAGGCAGGGACTGCCCGGAAGTAGGCAACTGCAGCCGTACATCACCTTTGGGGACAACCTTGAAGGACAGTGGTGAGGAAAATATTCACCATGGGCAGAGTGTCGGACAGTGCACATGATTGCATTTTGCTTGGAAGAGAAACAGCCAGATGTGAAATTATATACTGTTACAGTCAGTGCTGATTGTCAACTTGACAGGCTCTAGAATCACCTAGGAGATAGGCTTCTGGGCATACCTGCGACAGATTATCTAGATGGGGTTATCCTCTGGTCATGCCTGTGAGTGATTACTTGGATTCAGTAAATTGCAGTAGGAATATGTACCTAAAAGTGCTTGGATTCTGGACTACATAAAAAGAAAAAGACTATCAGAGCACAGCAATGCATCTCTCTCTGCTTCCTGACTGAAGATGCAAAGTGACCAGCGACTTTCAGCTCCTGTCGACTTGACCTGCCCGCCATGATGAACCAAATCCTCAAACTGTGAGCCAAAATAAACCTTTCCTTCTTTAAGGTCCTTTATGTCAGGTTTTTTTCCCATGCATATGCTCATGCACGCGTGCACAGACCCCCCCACACACACACACACGACATAAATAAATTTAAAAGAAAAGAAAAAGAATATGGAATAATATGAAAGCTATCATCATATCACATTGTCAAGTGAAGCTACAGAATGAAAATAAAATATGCCCAGATAAGCATAGCTATTTTTAAATACAAAGAACTAAAAAACAATGCATAAAAATAGACTGAGGGAAATTTAATGGTTGCAGAATGATAAAAAGCTCTTTTTAAATTGCGATTGTTCTACTCTCAGATTCAGGCTATACTTCTTTATTAATCATTAATTATTTATATCTTCTTTATACGTATGCCTTTCTTCATCGCTGAACATGAGTGGCCACATTACGCACTGAGACAATGACTGGATTCTAGGAGGGATCTTCTACCCACACGGTGTCCGTGAGCTCCAGGAGGTCAGTGAAGGTGAGCTGCCGCTCAGGGGGCGCTGGCTGTGCCCAGCTATTCTCATGATTGTGATCTCTGGGAGGACAGGGCTGTCAAATACTCGTATGAAGAGTTACAAGGAACATTAGTTCAAAAAGGGCAGCAGAGAAAACTAGGCAGAAAAATCTCACTAGGTCTCAAAATCTAAAAGAGTTCTCCCATTTTAACCCTTTCAGGTAAAGATACACCAAACACAAGGCAGTTTTCAGAATGGTATTCTGCCCCCTCCTCCCTCTTCTTCCCTAAACAACATCTCTTGTAAATCCCTCAGATACAAAACAGATCAAAACAGCTGCTGTGGTAAAAATAGGGGTCAGACCATGTGTTCTGCTCCGCCTGATCCGTGTAGATCTGAGGCTTCTCACAGAATCATCTGGAAAGTGCTGTTCAAACAAATGTAACTGGCTGAGGAGCTGTCTGGAATGGAGCACTGTCACTAGGACCCTATTGTGGTCTGAAAGGACAGCCAGGGAAAAGGGCCCATTAAGAGCAGCTGTGTCTACATTCCCAGCTACTTGAGGAGAGCATCTGTGCCTGTCTCCAGCCCCATCTCCCAAGGAGCCCTGACCTTATTTGAGCTGGAATTGCACAAAGGGATTGTGGTCCAAGCTCGGCCCAGTGGGTGCTGACTACCCTTCTGTTTACCATCCATCAGTAGGGGGCAGTTCCAGCTCCCTTTGATTTCGGTGGCTCAGGAGCAGTGAGTTTAGACCTGAGATGAATAAACAGCGTATCATTTGGCATTGGCATGGTTCCTGGTAGCCAGGGCCAGGCGAGGTTTAAAAAGGATTAGGCTTAGATTAGAAAAGGGGTGGAGACAGTACTAACCCCCACAAGCCCATACTGTGGTCTCTTAAGGGCCTCTTGTTTCATAAGAGGACTGTGGGTTAGCAGTCTCAGTCTTACTATTCCAGAAGTAGAGGCCAGGGGTCAGCTGTTCTGTTCTAGAAGGCCCAGGACACGCTGCTTCTGCAGACGGTCCTCCTGTGAGGGCTCTGGGTCCTCAGCAATTTGAGGAAGGCTCTAGATCTTTTTTTTCTAGAGAGTTGCCACAAGTGCTTGGCACACATGAAAACACGTGCATACATACATACACGCTCGGGCACGCATGCATGCATATGCACACACACACACACACACACACACACACACACACACACACACACACACTTTTCTTACACTTGTAGGTTTTGAACCACTCTGGCCGAAGCTCTTCAGCGGATCTGCAGGGCTCAGGACAGGGAGGCCACATTTATCCCTCATGGAGGCAGGATGGTGCCCTGCCAGAGGCCCCAGCAAGTAGCCAGACTCTTCAGTGACCCCTGTCATGCTGAATGGACCTTGTCACTGGGCCAGGTTTCCTTGGCAGTCTGGCTACTCACTGGGCTCTGGCAGGTGTTCTTGTTTATTACACAAAGTCTTGCTCCATTCCCTGGCGACAGCTTGCAAACCAAAACTATTTCATCTCCCAGGACAAACAGGTGAGTGAGTGAGAGAGAGAGAGAGAGAGAGAGAGAGAGAGAGAGAGAGAGAGAGAGAGAGAGAGAGAGAAGAGAGAGAACAAAACAAAACAAGACAGACAGCTTTGCAAAAGCACCACTTTCTAGGTTCCCTGGAAAACTGTCTTTTTATCCCAGAGTGCCCTGCTCTGGCTGCTTCTGGAGTAACTGCTTGTTTGCCCAGTGAAAGTTGTATGAGATGCCCTCCCCACCCCCAGCCCGATTCTCTCTCTTTCTCTCAGTGGGACTTTCCCTTGCTATTTTAAAACTTGGGAGGGGCTCACATTTTTCACACTCAAGCAATTAGTCTCATCCTGAGGGTCTTATTGGCGAGGGGGGATAAATCCACAGTGTCTATACAAACAGCGTGGGGGAGGTGGTGGTATAGGGAAGGCTAGGAGAAATGTTTCCACCTTTATAGCACCGGTCTGCCTCTTCTCTTTACCACACCAAATCCTGACTGAGAACCCTTGCAAGTAGACTGTTGGGCCCTGATGAGCCGTCTGCCATTCATTTTTTGTGACCCCACCAAATTCTAGTTTTCTCTCGTGTTAAAAATGGTACCAGTACTGAGAATATGGGCGAAGTTGTATCAGATTTCTAACTCCAAGTGAACTTTCAATAACTGTTGATTGCAATATTATAAGCAATTCCTTGTCCCCCCCCCCCCCGACACCACCCTGTGCTGTTACAGTCTGAACATCAGTGTCTCCCCAGAACACACATATTGAAATTACTCACCCGTGTTACTCTGTTAGAGCTGGGCCTTTGGGAGGTGACAGAGACATGATAGCGGAGCCCTCATGAACGGGACCAGGGCCCTTACAGAAGAGTCCTATAGGGAGGGGCTGGAGAGATGGCTCAGCAGTTAAGAGGGATTGCCCCTCTTTCAAAGGACCCGGACTCAGTTCACAGCACCCATGTCAAGCCCCTCACAGCCACCTGTAACTCCAGTTGCAGGAGATCTAACATTTTTCCCTGGTGTCTTTGGCCACCACCCACCCACGCACCCATGATGTGTGTGTGTGTGTGTGTGTGTGTGTGTGTGTGTGTGTGTGTGTGTGTGTGTTGTGTGTGTGTGAGTGTGTGCAATAGATAAATAAATAATCTTTAAAATAAATGAATTTTTAAGAAAAGCCCTCAGAAATCCTCAAAGAGTTGTCTTGTCTACCCACCATGTTACATCATAGCAAGAGGCTTCATCTGTGAATCCAAAAACAAGTCCTCACCAAACACAGAATCAGCTGGCCATTGATCCTGGACTTTCCAGCTTCCAGAGTCTTTTGAAATAAACACCTGTTTTATAAGACTGTTGTTCGAGCAGCCCAAATGACCTAAGGCAAGTGCCTGAAACGCAAATACAGGCTCGCTACCATTTGCACAAGGACATTTCACTTGTTGCACAGAGGATGAACAATATGTAAATATATAAATATTCTGCATCATGTAAGCATCTGGAAAGTTCTAACTCTTAGTATTATTCTTACCAGGGAGGTCGGGGAACATGGGATATATTGCATAGTCTACTACAGAGCAAAAACATGTTTACAAATATTTAATCTCCTCTCTTCCTTTTAATATCACTGCCATACCCATGGAAAAGATAATAAGGGTTTCTGTAAAGATTTATTACAGGTACAAGAAGTCCTATGCCATTTTTCCATCTTTTCAACAACCTTCCCAATGGGTACCATGACTGTCATTACTATACTTCAAATGTTAACATGGGCTCAGAGTCGTTAAGTAAATGGCCCAGGTCCAGAGGACTCCTAAGTATAAAAGCTAGTCATAAATCTAGAGCCTCTTGCTTTATGCTGCTGTCATCTCTTCAAGTTCTTATGTGAGTGCTGTTCCTTTTTCCACTCCCTAAAATGATGCGTTTCAGTAGAGAGTCCATCTTTGCTTGCTTTGACAGGCCTGACAGGCATCCCACCCGAGCACAAGTCTCAGATGGCTTAACACTGTCCAGAGACGACTTGGATTTATTTAAAGCTGACTTCACCTTGTTTCTGAAACTGTTGGATAATTTATACTTTAAACACCCATGCAGAAGATAACCATGCAGGTGCACCCATCCTTCAGTGCTCCTCAGTGAAGAGGGAGAGGTAACAACAGTTGTCACCACACGTGAAGGAGTCCTTCAAACCACGTAAAGACTCGGAGTAGGGCTTTTTAGAAGCACATAGGTGGTGGTCTCCAGTAAATGCTTCATCTCTGTTGGCCCTGGGCAGCTTGGAATCTGAACTAAATTTCCTTGTCTAGTGTCTATATTTTTCTCTGTTCCTGAAAGTGGTAGTTTAGAAAATGTAAAAGAGTTTAAGAAGCCAATAGAGATGATAGAGCCGCATTTCTTAGTGATCGACCCGAGCTCAGATTCAAAACTCACTTATGTTGGAGTAACTCTGGTACAGTTACTTTGTGAAGAATTAGAAAGAAAAACCTTCTGATTCTGGAACAGTTTAAAGATATTTCACCATGAGTCATTCTAATGAAGTTGAAGTAGGGAAACAGAAAATGTTTTCTATGTGTTATTATTATGGGAGAGTCTCCAGGGAACTCAATGAACACCTAAGCCTGAGGCGTTCATAAATACTCTATATTGTATGGCTAGCAGGACTCCTGCTGGGGTAGTTTCGGTGAAAAATGTCCCCTGTAGTTTCACATATTTGAACACTTGGTCCCAGTTGGTGGGGCTGCCAGGAGAGGTTATGGAGACTTTAGCGGGTACAAGCTTGCTGAAGGAAGTATATTACTGGGGTAGGCTTTGAAGGTTCATATCCGTACCTCACTTCTGGTTCGCTCTCCTCCTTCTATGTATGATAAAAAGGGACCAGCTGTCTTCCTGCTCCTGCCACTGTGCCATCCTCTCCTTGGCATGACAGACTTTATCCTTCCAGAACCATAAACCAAAGTCAACTTTTTTTCTTTTAAGTTACTCTTGGTCAGAGTGTTTTATCATAGCAACAGAAAAGGTGTGTGTGTGTGTGTGTGTGTGTGTGTGTGTGTGTGTTAAAATGGGATCTCACTACATAGACCAGGTGTCCTCAAACATATGACAATCTCCCTGCCTCTGCTTTCCAAGTGCTGAGATTATAGATGTGTGCCACTGTACCCAGTGGATCTGGAATTGTGAACTTTTATAATTATGAAAAAAAAAAGACTTCACTGGCAATGGTATTGCTCATTCACCATTTCTCTCTGTTTTCTTTTCTCTCTGTTTTCCCTCTATTTATATAAAATTAAGATACTATAACTAAGAAAATTATTTTAAAAATCAAGATTTTATGACTACATTTGTGCATTTGCAGTATAGAACACTTGTATCCTTGGCAATTGTGGTCCAAGGAATCCAGTGTGGGTTTTTTTCTACCTAAAGTGACCACCAAGTATTTTAAACCTGTTTTAGAGCCTTTTTATTATACTTGCTGCCTATGAATACATAATAAAAGAATTGTATTTAATTCTCCACGTTCTTATATCAACTACATTGAATTGATACCATTTGAAAATATGTCCAGTGGTATGAAAAAATAAAAAGGAATAATTGGGTAAATTGGGGCTTTATTTTCTTCTTTCTATTCTATTTTTTGTAATATATATATATAAGTATTTAAATTCTTCGAAAATTTCATACACACATAAAATGTATTTTCATCATATTTCCACCTACTCCTCGCTCTCCATTTGTTTTCAAAGTCAGATCAGAGGGGAATAGATTTCATTTTAAACACCATCCCATCCTATGTCATCTGGGGCCCTAAGTCCTATGAAGCAATTAGTGATTTCAAATTTACAATCCACAATCTGAGCGGTCTTAATTGCTTGGGTAATTACTTATTTATGCAATATTTATTTAGTTGATTATCACTCCACTTCATCTGAGAGCCTCAATGAGATTCATAAATATTAACTTATTGTAATTATGTTTCATTGCAAGAAAAGCATATGATACAGTTATCAGTCATTTCAAATCACTATTGTCTTGGTAGTTGATTCGAGGCAGTGGCTTATCTAGGTTCTGTAGTGAAGTCATAGTTGTTTGGTGCTGTTGATATACCCTTATAGATTGAGAGAATTCTGGATGATGTTTCAGCATTGCCAGATGATACACACAAGACCCAATACAAGTTCATTCTCGTCTTCTTAAACACTTCCAGTATTTTTTCTTGAAGATACTAGAAATAGTTTTTCTCTTTGTTTTTGTTTTGACACAGGGTCTTGGGGAGTGGATAGCCAGGCTGGACTGGGGCTTGTGATCTTCTGTCTCAGTTTCCCTAGTGCTGGAATTACAGGTGTGTGTCGCCGTAGTAGATATTAGAGACATCTTGAATAAAACGCACATTCTTGAGGTCCTCTAGGTCATGGATCCTTGAACTTCTTCCATTTGAAACTATTTTTAACTAAGAAATTTTTATGCTACCCCGATACATAGTGTTCTGTGCTGTGGGATGTTCTGTATGGCAAATGTGTTGCTGATTAGTCAATAAATAAAACACTGATTGGCCATTGGCTAGGCAGGAAGTGTAGGTGGGACAAGGAGGAGAATAAAGCTGGGAAGTGGAAGGCCGAGTGACAGAGACACTGCCAGCCGCCATGATTAGAAACAGCATGTGAAGATGCCGGTAAGCCACGAGCCATGTGGCAAGGTACAGATTAATGGAAATGGATTAATTTAAGCTGTAAGAACAGTTAGCAAGAAGCCTGCCACAGCCATACAGTTTGTAACCAATATAAGTCTCTGTGTTTGCTTGGTTGAGTCTGAGTGGCTGTGGGACTGGCG